TCCATTTTCTGATAATTGCTCCCACAGTTGATTTTTTTCACACCAAGCTGCTTGCCTATTGTAGATTCACTCTTCCCAGTCTGGTGCAGGGCTACAATTCTTTTCCTGGTGTCCTTCGAAAGCTCTTTGGTCTTGGCCATAGTGGAGTTTGGAGTCTGACTGTTTGAGGCTGTGGATGGGTGTCTTTTATACAGATAAGGGCTAATCAAACAGGTGCCATTAATACAGGTAACGAGTGGAGGACAGAAAAGCTTCTTAAAGAAGACGTTACAGATCTGTGAGAGCCAGAGATTTTACTTGTTTGAAGTGACCAAATACTTATTTTCCACCCTGATTTACAAATAAATTCTTTAAAAATCCTGCCATGTGAATTCATGGATTTTTTTTCACATTCTGTCTCTCACAGTTGAAGTGTACCTATGATGTAAATTACTGACCTCTGTCATCATTTTAAGTGGGAGAACTTGCACAATCGGTGGCTGACTAAATACTTTGTTGCCCCACTGTATATACATGCTAAGATTAAAAATAAAATTAATTTAAATAACTAAAAAGTTTAGTTTTTTCTGAAATATTTCCCCCCCCCTCAAAATGTAGGTAAAGGTTTTGGAGAAGTAGGCCGATGTTTGCCTAAATGCTTCTGGAGTTACAGTTTGGCAGCTGTGGCAACAATGTGTGTGTGAAGATTATCCTGTAACATCCTTAATATTTTACTTCTGGGAACCAAAGGAAATGTGAGGGAACGGATTTGTCTTATCTAGTGTACAAATAAATTAGCATAGAAACAAACGCTGGCAGAGGAAACTTCCAGGCAGATGGCGGTCAAAGATGGCCTCCTGAATATCATAAGGCTACAGAGCAGAACTGATGGAGGGCACGCTCCGGTGGCCTCCCGTCTGAACTGTTAGATGTGCTATTCTAGCCCAAGGAGCTGGGAATTGGCTTACTTTTGTGCAACTGCTGAGTCATTTAACAGTGGGTGAAATTTTCAGAAATACAGGAAGCCATTGTTTATTTTTGCATGTATTATCTCAGTCGGTGCAGAAAAATACACAACTCGGGTTTAGATTGTCGTGAATTTGCATCATGAGCAGAAGTGACTTGTCCTCTGTGGCCCTGGGCTACGGTTTTATTTTCTTCCACTGCATAAAATAAACATCAATATTTACATGCCAGTGGAGGTTCGGTCAATTTAGCAGAAATGCAGATGATTGTATTTGATCTGTTTTGCTCTTTTTTTGGCATTCTGTGCTTTTGTGGCTGACAAATTAAAATCTCAAAACTTACTCCCAATTGCACCTTACTCAATTGTATGAAAAGGAGACAACAAGTAAACACAACAAATTACATTTCACTCTAACCCTCTTTTATTGCATAAAGAAAAATCCCAAATGACCAGAGCTGCTCCTTAGTTTAAACATTTATTTGACATATTTTATTTGCAGGTGTGACAAAAGAGCTTCTTGGTTATTTGTGGAAATAATGGGCAAAGGAAATGCATATATATATATATATATATATATATATATATATATATATATATATATATATATATATATATTCTCTCTCTCTCTCTCTCTCTCTCTCTCTCTCTCTCTCTCTCTCTCTCTCTCTCTCTCTCTCTCTCTCCCCATGTGGAAGTCTGCAATAATGCAACAATCAGTGTTGCCTCTTGAGCTGCCAGAGTGTGATGGATACACACACAGCATGACACCCTGACTGCAAATGTTTCTGTAACTGCAGATCGTAGGACAATGCAGACAAATACAGGAAATACATAGCAGAACATTTCAGGTTTGACTGTTAACAATGTCTCCTTGAAAGTAGAGTTGCACTATTAAGATTGGGCTTTTGTGGGGTTTGCTTTGGGGTTTTCTCCTGAAAATCGTGGAAATCGCTGAAAGGTCAATCTTTCTTTACCAAAATGATCATGTATGATACATTTCGAATCTCATTTTAGCTGTGAAGAGGGAAAAATGAGTGGTAGAACATTATGTTTTTACTGCTGTCTTGCAGGGTTTGATTCCCTGCTGATGCTTTCCTGCATGGAGCTCTCATGCTTTCTCCATGTATGCATGGCTTTTCTCCAGACATGCAAGAATTGCCATTTGGTTAGAGTGCATTTGAATGGTTGTTTGTCTCTCTATGACGGACTTATGACCCTTCCTGGATTAATCTTATTTCCCCTCCAATGACCCCTGGAAATACTCCCAAGTGCAGATCTGACATGAGAAGACAGATACGGAAGATGATTAAACTGCCTAAATCCCTCATCTCTATTGCCCTCTAGTGTCAGATCTACTAAAACACACCACAGACACATACTTGCACAGGAGAATGAGGTGAATAACTACTACACCCTAAATGGTAAAATCCTAAATCTGTAAAAAAACATTTTCAGGATATAAAATATCATTTACATTGTGGATTCATCTGCAGGAGCAACATCAAAGCTGTAAAACTGCTGGTTGTTTGGTTCCCAAAACCTCCTATTTGCATGTTGAAGTAACCAATGGCAAAATATTCTCAGACCTCATTTAACTCTATGTGATTTTTACTTGTATTTTATTTTCAATAAACACAGTTAGATGTTGTAGCAACAAATTCAAAAGAAAAAAGTGGGTCTAAAAACGGTGACAAATATAGTGACATCATTTCCCCAAGAAATATTAAGTTTCCAATTTTTGAACTGGAACAAAACAAACAAACAAACAAAAACAAAAAAACAATGTTTTGCAGCTTGTTTTTAGATGTATTTCTGCATAAAACCTTTTTAAATGGTCAATTAAACATTATTTTCCCATAAAAATTTGATTGCACACAGTTTTTCTTTTTTTTAAGTGGATGTTCTAAATGTAGCAATTTTTATTTTTATTTTTTACTTTTTTTTTTGCAAAAATAAGACCCAGCATCTCTTCTGTTTGTTTTTTTGAAGGTTTGGCTGACTGAAAAGGCATTTTTAATGTTTTTCCTGTTATAATCAGTCACTGAATTTTTTGTGCAGGCTGAACATGCGTATAGTCAACTACACCCAGAGCCGGATTAAATAAATGGGCTACACTAGGCAGGCTGCACCCCCCCCCCCACCCCCCACCCACCCACCCACCCCCATCGATGTTATTTATTGAATTGAAATCTGAAACTTACCAAAGTTACTAATAAAAGTTAATTCACATCTTACGTAGCCTAGTTTTTGGTTACAAATTGGTTGTTTGTATACCAAAGTAAATCATGTGTTGTATGTTAAACATTCTATCAGACTATTTTTTTATATTAATAATTTATGCGTCATTAAGAGGTGGAATAGATGTTGTTTTCTCTGACTCTTATGGCTGCAAAAACATTAATTTAGGCAAATTCTTATCATTTGAATATCTTGCTATATACGTTCAATGCAAGAATCCAATACTGATAATAACAGTTTATAGTCCTCCAAAATCAAAGTGTGGGTTTTATGAGGAATTATCTGAATTACTATCGAAGGTTTCTATAGATTTTGAGCAGTTACTTATTTTAGGTGATTTTAATATTCATGTGGATAAACAGGAGGCCCCAGAAGTGAGACAACTTTTTAGCATCCTTGATGCCTTCAGTTTAACTCAGCATGTATGTGGGCCTACTCACAACAAAGGTCACACTTTAGATTTAGTTATATCGAATTGTCTTAATGTTACTGCTCCTGCAATTATAGATATGGCTATATCTGACCATTACTGTTTATTTTTTAATGTTTTAGCTGTTCCTCACAAGCTGCATAACCCTCAGGAAGCCAAAAAACGTTTTATAGACAATAGCACAATTGAAAACTTTAAGGAAGTTATATATAAATTGCCTGCGTCTACAAGATCGCAAACAGATGATCTAGTGATGACTTTTAACTTAAAATTGGAAAATGTAATGGATCAAGTTGCACCCTTTTAAACTAGACGCATAAAACAACACAAACCCCCATGGAGGAAAGGGCTCGAAATCAGAGCCTTAAGGAGGAAATGTCGGCAGGCTGAACGACGGCGGAGGAAATCTAAACTTCAAATTCATTATGATATTTACAGGGACCAACTCTATGAGTACAACAAAGAAATGAAAAGAAGCAGAATTGACTTCTTTTCTAAAAATTATAAATGAAAATATTAACAATAGTAAAGTCCTTTTTACTACAGTCAATAGGATTATTAATCCTCCTTCTGGTCTTCATGCTGAGATGTCATCTTTAGCAAAATGTGAGGAATTTGCATCTTACTTTAAATTGTGAGCATTAGGCAGAATATTTCTAGATCCAATTATGACCTCATACAACAGCACTCCAGTACCGCACTCTGTACTATGGCTCATTTCGTGCTTTTAAATGGTAAATCAATCAATCAGATTTATTTATAAAGCGCTTTTCAAACAAAGTGCTACTCAAAGTGCTTTACAAAATGATCCCAGATTCCCATAACAGGTTAAAAACATTAACAGACATATGCAAGTACACGCACACGCACGCACACGCACACACACACACACACACACACACACACACACACACACACACACACACACACACACACACACACACACACACACACACACACACACACACACACAAGTAAAAATGATATTTGGCTGAGTCCAGATGAGCCCAGTAAGGTAAGGCAAGGAAACACCATCAGAGGAGCCGTCTGCCCCGGCAGCATCAGGTCTTCCACACTAAGTCAGGGCGCTCAGTGGAGGCGGAGCATAGACCCCCACCTATAGAGCGCCCAGGAAGCTACAGTCGACCACCGCTCCCGGGGCAGAGGGCCCCTACAGAGGAAACAATGGATTAAAATGAGTAAAAATATAATAAAAGAGCTAATATAAATGACAAAGGTTAGAAAATAAGTAATAAATAAAATTATATAGACAGTAAAATAATAATATTAAATAATGAAACAATGCTAAAATATGATCATATAGAACATGCAAAGCAAGTAATAAAATATAATCATGTAAAACGAAGAATAAAACTGTAGTAAATATTTAGATAAAAGCTAACCTAAAAAATTAATTATTTTTATTCAAATTAATTTATTAATTATGCAATTTGAGACTTTCATGCAATCAGTATGAAAACATTTTAGATGCTTGTTGTTTATAATGTTGCCATGGTAAATCAAAATGCTTAGAGAAGTAACAGCTCACTGCACAAAAAGAACAAAAATAAAAGAAAAAAAAGGGAAAAAAGGAGAAAAAAAGGTAAAGGGGGAGGAAAGGGAAGTAACTACTACTACCCGATCACATGACTACTTTATGACATCACTGCATCATCACATCCTCTTAGGTTCCGCAGACACAGCTCAACTCATTAGTGACCAGCCACTGGTGAGACACGCATCATTCTCGATCTTCTCTCCGACACGCAAGAATCTCTTTGTGCAACGCAAGAATTTATTCTGAGACTGAGACATTCAACAAAAGTCTGAAATAATGCTTCATCAACAGCGAATGACTCCATCTGGGACAGTCCAGCAGAAAAATTCTGGCTGTAATCAACAAAAAAACATATCTTTTCTCAAGATGAAGATAAAAGATTTGGAATCTCAGTTGTCAATCATGGATGAATTGTTCAGCGCTGAGAAGGAAAGAAGAAAAGCGGCGGAAAAAGAAAGCAAGTCCTTCAAAACTGAAATTAATCGCCTAGAACAAGATCTGGATTTCTACCAAAGTACAACAGAAACCCAGGAAAAATCCATCCAGACGTTGAAGGAACAGCTTGAAGAAAAAGACGTTTTGTTTGCAGATCTGCAAAAACGTTTTAGCCAGGAATCAGAGAACAGACTCCTGTTAGAACAGGAGAGAAGGCAGAACGAAGAGTCGGCCAACAAATTAAAGACGGAAATTGATCAGCTGAAACAAGGACGGGATCATTACCAGCTTACAGCTGAAACCTGTCAAAAAGCTATCAAGGATTTACAAATCCAGCTTCAAGAGAAGGACACTTTGTGTGAAACTCTGCTAAACCAATTACAAGAGCAGCAGAACCAAGCCACCGTCCACAAAGAGAAGTTGGCAGGTGTCACACATCAGCTGGAGAGAAAATCCCTTCTCTGTGAGGATCTAACATCTAAATTTGACAAGGAACAGCAGCTGAGACATGACTGTGAAGCAGAACTAGACAAAACCAGAGTTCTGATCACCGAGAATTCAGATCTGAAGCAGGAGATCCAGGATTTGACAGACAGGAACTCTGAACTCAGAGATTTGATGGAAAAAAGCAACTCTGAGAAAGTCAGTTCAGAAATGACTTTTATTCGAGATCTGCAAAAACTAGAAGAGCAGCTTGGGAAAGAGACGGAGATTAGACAGAGTTTAGAGTCCGAGCTGGTCCAAAGTAAGGAGACAGCCAGACTAAACGAAGAACTCGTCTCCAAGCTGAGAACAATGCAGGAAACCGAGACAAACCTCCAATCCATAATTGTTAACCTTCAGCTGGATCAGATACAGGCTAAGGAGAAACATGAAACAGATTTAGAAATCCTCAACCAGCAACTTCATCGTCTAAGCTGTGAGTTTCAACCCTGTCCTGAGACGTCTGTGGGGACCGATCTGATGTTGGGACTGGAACAAGATTCAGAAAATCCCGACTACAGCTGTCAGACGGAAACAGAAGTTTGTTCTCCTACTGAAATCTGCGCAGAAACGCCAGAAGCCATCAGGTGTCTCCACACAGATGACACGTCACTCGATGACGACCTCAGCTACCTAGAAGACGCTCCACAAACTGTCACACGCCTGGAGAAAATTTCTATGTGGAGGCGTTTTAAGAAGTTTATGACTCCAACGTGTTTACGAAAACACAAAAACAAGTCATAAATAAGACATGGGACATATTAGCTTTAGCATATTTAAGGGACCTGACTACAGGCACAAACGTTACATCAAAACGACCGGCTCAGTCAATTTCATGATTTATTAATTTAATTAAATACTGAGTTATTAATGCGGCTCGATCGGCAGCGTACACCCCCACAAATGTTACTCAAAACGTACAAAAAAAAAGTATTGTGCCAGGTAGCAGGTCCCTTCTAGTCTTAAATTAGAAATCTCCTTTATGTATGGGTTAGTTCACTCCTGGTGCTCAGGTTCCCCCACATGTTTAGGTCAAACACACACACCCAGACAAAAATTAAATAGACAAAAAACGGGGCTACATGACGGCTAATTGTTGGCACTTAGTCTCGCAGCAAGGTTTCTGGTTCAAGTCCAGCAGCAACCTTTCTGCGTGAAGCTAGCTTGCTCTCCTTCATGTATGCGTGGGTTTACTCCGGGCGCTCCGGTTCCCCCCACACACACGTTAGGTCAATTAGTGATGTCTCTGGGTGTGTGCTAGCAATATTTTTAGTTTTTTGATTTAGAAATGACTTCTAGTAGTTCGTTAGTTTATTTTTTGTGTGTCTGATCTGTCTTCTGTGGCAGACGGCTGCTCGTTCTGAGCCGGGTTAAAGGGGAGTTTTCCTCTTCGCTGTCTCTATGCTTAGCCAGGTCTGCCAGACTCCTCCTCTGTTTAATTCTGCACAGAGAAAGGGTCTGGTAACTCTCCTATTCTAACAACCCCACCCCGTGAGAGTTTTTACTGAGCCAATCAGGGCTGAGCATCGTCTGTTTGGTTAATCAAAGGCAGAGAGGCACACGAGAGGCGGGACTAGCCTGCTCAAAAATAACCAATCAGAAAAAGGACAGAAATGCCGACTGAACCGCGCAACGCTGTAGTTTATCAGCTGTAGTAAAAAAAAAAGGCATCTGGCAGCGGCACAAACATCGTAGTTTTCAACACATTCTCACACCCTAGGCATCGAAAAATGACGCGGTGTGACCAAGCGTTTGCTTCCGACATCTTGGGAGCCCCTGCGCGTCGGGAGGCGATGCGCTGTGCCAGACCGTCGGTGTCTGACGGCCGCTGTAAAACGTAGATTTCACCGACATTTCACCTCCAACCTCTACCGTTTTAACCTTCCCCTCACCCCCATCCTAACCTTAACCAGCTTGCACATGCAAAGCTTAGTTTTGCGTTTCATCATTCCTCTCAAAGACGCTTAACAGAAATTTTACACTGACATACTGGGTTAAGGTGTCATAGGGGCAGGGGCTGCCAACGCGCCAGAAACGCTTGGTCACAACGCATCAATTTTCGACGCTTAGGGTGTGAGAATGTGTTGTATTTTTAGAAGGAAGGCTTTTAGCGCTTCTGCTTGTTGTGGTTTTAAAGACATTCAAGTCATTTAGAACAGAGAAAACAGCCACAGCGAACTCCGCCGCTTTCTTCGTTGCTTGTGAGAAACTGAGCGTCGCCGTGTGTGACGTCCGCGATGTTAGTTTTTTAGCTGTAGTCCAAAATGGCTTCTGGCGACAGCAGTAACATCTTCTTTAGAAGAAAGGCTTTTAGCGCTTCTACTTGTTGTGGTTTTAACGACATGTTCAAGTCATTTAAAACAGAGAAAAGAGCTTCAGCGAACTCCGCTTCAGTCGCCATGTTTAAGACAAACTCAGCGTTGTGGTGTGTGACGCACGCTGCTCGGCGCTGATTGGCTCGGTTAGAATTCTCACGGGGTGGGGTTATTTGAATCGGAGAGTTTCCAGACCCTTTCTCTGTGCAGAATTAAACAGAGGAGGAGTCTGGCAGGCCAGGCTACCCTATGCTTGCTTAGTATGAAGATCGCTGTAAAGTCTCTGTGACAAGTCAGTGACTCCACAGTCGGCTGGGTTTCTTTACATAGAAAACAAAAATTAAACAGAAAAAAACACTTAAAGGGTTAAAAAATGTATAAAAACCCTTAAAAAAAGTCACAAATAGAAACAAAAAAACGGTCATTTTTGCTTCACTCATCCGGTGTTGGGGCGCTGAGACAGCAGCCTAAGCAGAGAGGGCCTGACTTCATTCTCTCCAGCCACTTGTGCCAGGGAGAGTAAAACTCCAATCCTGTCATGACTCCCAGTCTTTCACCCTCCTCTGCCTCTGCGCCACCTCATCAAGCCTTCAGTCACTTCATTCATCTCACCTGTCCCTGTCATCAGCTCATCCCACACACCTGCTCCCTCTGCTATTTAACTCCCAGCCTGCTCTCCAGCCAGTGCCAGATTATTGAATGCTCTTTGCCAGTAAATCTTCCAGCCTTTCACCTTGCCTGATCACAGCCTCCGGATCTCGTTTTCACGCCTGACCCCTGCCTTGAACTCTGCCCGCCACCACGACCCTCACCTGTCTTCTACGTCTCCAGCCTGTTCCCTGTACCTGCTCGTCCCCATCTGGTTTTGACCCTCGCCTCCTCTCCGACTCTGTCTCCTGCCTCGCCCTCTTCGGTGACGTCACATCTGATAAAGACTTTTTATTGAACTTTTTACTGTGTTTGGTGTCGTCACGGGTCTTCCAAGTTCTGGTCGTGACAGAATAATCTGGCCACAACATAGACCAGACACCGACACAGTACTTGCTTAGGAGTTCAGCTAACATTCATTCTGACCTGTCATGGAGTATCTCACGCTCCTTGAGTTTATGGGACTAGAAAAGGAACAGGAGTCACCGTTCTGGGGAACACGTCTGGCAATCAGGCCACAGCCGCGCAGAGGTTCCACCCCTCCGTCCACGCCTGCAGCGACCGTCTTGCGCAGCGAGTCCCTGACAACGCGACGGTGGCAGCCCCGGAAACCCTCTGCGAATTCACTGCCTTCCCAGATCCAAGGTTTAGCAGCTACGCCGCTCCAGCCTCAAGCGCCTCCAGTCAGGTCATGTCGGCAGTGGTCCCGGAGGTCCTCTGGAGCTGCTAAAAAGGTTGATCCTTCTCCCGTGCTGGTGTCGGCGGGTGCCCCAGACGACACCTCATGTTTTGCTTCTAGGCCGGCCCCAAATGAGGAGGCTGTTCAGACGATCGAGGACGCTATATGGGAAATCTTTACCATACCATCCTGCCCCCACTTTCGACTGCGGACGGCTGAAAAGTTAAATACCCTCTTTTCCACCCCTCCGGAATTGATAACGGTTCCAGCCCTTGGTAATTATTACCTTTATGTCCGGAGTGTTTATGGGTCCGCACTTAAGGATGTCACCGCAGACGGTCTGACCTGCTGTGAGGGATGGACGCCTTCCCCAGAACCCTTCAGCAGCACACATCCACGTCCGGTGGTGGTCCCAGAGGACGGTCCGCATCCCGTTCTGGTGGTGGTCCCAGAGGACGCTCCGCATCCCGTTCTGGTGGTGGTTCCAGAGGACACTCCGCATCCAGTACCGGTGGTGGTCCCTGAGGACGCTACACATCCCGTCCCGGCGGTGGTCCCAGAGGACCCTCTCCCTCTAAACATTTTAAGAATGGTGCCGATTTTCTCCAGCCTCACAGGCTTAGGGACATTTTGCTGCTCACCGTTGCGTTGCTTGCCCTGCTCTAACCACATGAGATCGCTGGATTAAAACCTGAAAGTAGTTTATAACTGAGGTGGTGCGTGCACAGTCACGGGGGACAGGAACGAGTGACATGGCAAACACGACAGACACGGCAGAAGCGGCAGCACTGGAGCAAGACGGCAGCAGTTGCAAATGACTGATCAGATCCGTTCTACGTATATTCACAGGACACGGAGAGAGAACTTTTCTAATCCCTAATGCCTGAGACGCTGACTGCAGGAATCAGCAGAAAGTGTAAATAAAACTTGTAGAAGTTTGAAAGCTGGTGTGTGGTGTTTTCACATTGCCTTTTTGATGCATGTAGGCTACTAGAGATGCGATACCTAGTCTGAACAGCCTGGCGCTAAGGAATTTAATATTTTCACACAGTGGGGCTTTAAAGCTGAAATGGCAAATTTGGAAAACAAATTAGTTTAAAACCTTTTTTTTGTGTCGGTTGGATTACATAAATCATCGAAGTACTCCGCTGATCGATTCATAAAATCCCAAGTCGAGGTCAGCAGCACAGCGTCTTTACTACAGGGCTTTCAGCTGAAATGCCGGATGGTGGACTAGAATCTTCTCAAAGCTGTATGAAGATCTTCCTCCATGGGCTTACCAAACTCCTCTCGTACTCAAAAACAAACAGGCAAAACTAAATCCACATATAAAAAAATAAAAGTCCCAGAAGCAGGTGTCTTCAAGGCTGGCTTGCAACTTTCAGCAGAGGCTTACAGCTGTGCTTTGTCATAAATAATATTTTTCACTTGCAGTCAGTTTGATTGTTTAGGTCACCAAGCAGAATTGGGATCACTACTGAATGATTTTGAGGACGTTTTTACTCACATTGCTATGGATCCAGTCACTTACTTTGTTTTATGCTAAGCTAAAGTGAAAGGGGCTGGTTAAAAATTGGGCAGTAGTTTTGCTGCAGAAAACAAAATCCTTAAAAACTTAGGTTAATCAAATTCATTTAAATGAAGAAATATTAGATTGAGTAGACAAACCTCCATCCATCCATTTTCATCCGCTTATCCGGAGTCAGGTTGCAGGGGGCAGTAATCTAAGGCGAGAGGCCCAGACTTCCCTCTCCCCAGCAACTTGGGCCAGCTCCTCCGGGGAAATCCCAAGGCGTTCCCTAGCCAGGTGAGAGACATAGTCCCTCCAACATGTCCTGGGTCTACCTTTAGGTCTCCTCCCGGTTGGACGTGCCCGGAAAACGTCACCAGGGAGGCGTTTAGGAGGCATCCTGACCAGATGCCTGAGCCACCTCAACTGGCTCCTCTCGATGTGGAGGAGCAGCGGGTCTACTCCGAGCCCCTCCTGGATGACCGAGCTCACCACTCAGTCATCGTTTCTTCAGATCCTTGATCAGAGTTTCCATTCAACCGATCCATTTTACAAACTATCCGCTCACAGTAAGTGTTCTTACTTACTTCTGGAAAACCCAGCATTTCCGTGTCACCTCACTGACGCTCGAACGCTCGGGGATTCCTAGATTATATCGTGAGCTGGCGTTTCACTAACGCTATCACTTCCGCGTCTGTGAAACCACGCTCCCTACAAGCTCAACTCCCGAATCCAGCCGACCAGTCTGACAAATTGTTGTTGTTGGCTGAATAAAAATATCTATCTAGAACAAATTCTCCATTCTGGCTAAAAATGCTGAAAGAAAAATAAAACAAAGACTCAGGTGGAAGTACTTCTTTTTATTTCTGAGTGTTGTACAGTTTGGTGTTGTCTTGACTAATTCATTAAAAGTTGCCATAGTTCAGTGACTGGTAAGACTTTAATCAACATTAGCTTAGATGTTTTATTTTTGTAAACAAAAGATTAAAATGATGCAAAATAGAATCAGCATTTTTCCAGATTCCCTCAGGAGTCACATGGCAGGATGTTGATTACTGACACCTTCTCCCCTTTGCATCGTCGAAGTCCAGCTTCACACTCGCTCATGGATTGTGGGAGCGCTGTCACGTCCTCGCCAACACGAACACACACATTTGATCCAGGGGTTGAGCAGTTTGCAGAGTCCTTACAGCTACACTGATTTCTTTCAACTGTCAACATGAAAATAAACAAAATCATTAAAAAATACAGAAAACGATGTAACTGTATGTTATTTGTCGCCGTTTGTGATCTCGCCCGTTCTTACCATCACAGTCTTCCCACATAAGGCAGTTGTGGCAGCCTGTTGTGTTGCGTTGGGGCCACATGCAGTTGTTGTACTCTGATATCTGCAACTGACCCCCAATACACTTGATAGCATGCATTTTGCACACAGTCATGGGAACAAATTTTCCATTTGGAGCTGTGGCACACAACTCCAGTGAGGGACTGAATTAAAAGGAAAAAAGAAAATCAATGACCAACAATAATAAAGTGTTTGAAACGATCACAACTATTTGTTAAAATCTTTGATTCCCAAAACAATGGAAATACCTGCAGTCATTTGGCATTTTGCAAACACATCTTCCTCTGGAGGGCTTCTCCCATGTTTGGCATTGCAGTGCAGGAGTAACCGGTTTCTTTGCTGTTTGAACTGCAAGTTAGAACAAAACAAATCACACAGTAGTGAACAAGGAAACGTTTTCTTTGGATGTCACATGACTCCGCAGCAAAGCCTTCTTTTATGACAATGTGTTTAAACTCCTTTGGAGCTCGGATCGAACAGAGCTGAGGTCAAAAATGGAACTGAGTTTAAAATGGCGTTGCCTTGTTTTATACCCCCTAATTGTTTACAAATCTTAGTAAACCGGATTGGACAAATTAAGTAAACAACCCAGATTCTCTCTACGACAGACGAAAGTTCTGATTGGTTGAAAACAATGTGTCATGCGTTTCCATGGTAATGTAGATCAGTCTGTTTGGTGCAGTCCTGTTTATTCATTAAACACATAACTCATGACATCTTTATTTCACAGATCATTCACCTGATTATTAATGATCAACATATGCTCTGATTAGCTTTATCACAAATAAAGTACTTAGATTAATTAATGGAAAGCATTCTTCTTCTCTTCTTCTGTCTCTTCTCCTGGAATGTAAACATACTGAAACAAGCGTCCGACCTTGGCGATGTTACTGTGTGAAGGGGCAGCTGTTAAGGCAGACAATTATAATATTCATAACGCTACAACAATCAACCAGAGGTAGAAAGTAATGAATTACATTTACTCACATTACTGTAGTTGAGTAGCTTTTTTTGTGTTATTAGACTTTTTAAGTCGTTTTTAAAATCTGTACTTTTACTTTTACTTGAGTACGTTTTTAAAAAAGAATTGTAATTTGCTACATTTTAAATCATATTTGTTACTGAGTAAAAAATAAATTGTAGGCTTAATAAATTAAAACTATTATGTCTAGCAGCGTCGGAACAGAAAGAGACACTTGCATGAGTGCCGCGTCTAAACCGTGGGGGGGGGGGGGGGGGGGGGGGGGATGGGTGTCCACTTGTGATAATGAGGATAAACAGCCATTTTATCGCAGTTTTGCTCAAAAACTTCAGTTCAGTCCCTGTGATCCACTTGGTGATTACCTCCTCTCCTGTGGGTTGGAACCCGCACCTTCGCGCACCGGTGTGACGTCATCAGAATTCTGCTCGGTTCAGTAGCCGGACTCGATTCCGTGTTTGAAATGTGTTTCCCTACCGCTCCGCACGGAAGCGGCAAAATAACGTTTAGCGCTCATAACCAGCGGATTCTCAGCGCTTTGCTCATAAAACAGAAGACCTGCAGGCCTCTGTGAGTTAAAACATCCTGATACTGTTCAGGTGTAAACATTGTGCTCCATCCCTGTGTTTGAACTCAGAAGATGCTTCTTGATGCCACAGATATGTGATGATTTAGCTTGTTTCTTTATTTTTGTCCAGAACAAGAGATTCAATTATTACTAAAGCAGTTCAATGTAGTTAAATTAGTCATTCAAATGATTCTAACATGCTGCTGTGTGTGTGTGTGTGTGTGTGTGTGTGTGTGTGTGTGTGTGTGTGTGTGTGTGTGTGTGTGTGTGTGTGTGTGTGTGTGTGTGTACACGAGTGAATTGTGATCTGGCATTGTGATTTTGCACTACTTAGAAGTAGCCATCCTTACGCTGAGAAAAATGTAACTAAGTAACTTTTACTTTGAGTACATTTTATTTATGATACTTACTTGAGTAAAAATTTAGGCAAGTACTTTTACTTGTACTTGAGTAAAAAAATGATCAAAGTATTGGTACTCATACTTAAGTAGGAAATTTTAGTACTCTTTCCACCTCAACTACCATCTATTTGAATATTTGTGAAAACCAAAAAATTAAAGAAGCACCTTGGGTACATCTGATCTGTGCCGGGTCTGGAGAAAAGTGCAGACTGGAATCACATCTACTTGTTTGTTCACCCTCTAGCTCTTTACCCTCTGGACACGACAAGGTGATCACCTCACCGAGGTGATAGGACTCCTGCAAAGGAGTCACTATCACATCTTTGACCAGTGAAGGAAGCCTGCACACTGAAACTGTGGAGAAAACAAAGAAATGAAATGAAATGAATTTAAAAAAGATAAATAAAAAAAATGTTCATCCCACATACCTGCACACAAACCAGGACTTGCAGACCAGGTTTGGCTAGCAGTGCATTCTATGATGCCGTGTGGAAGGAGATAGAACCCTGGTGTGCAGGTGTACTCAACTTTATCACCCACAAAATAACTATCCTTGGGGTTCTGTGGAAGATGCATGGAAAAAATATAATTTTTGTTTAAAATATGCAGAAAATGTGAGTAAAACATTGAAGTGTGGCTAGATTAACTGAGATTATAGCACGTAACCAAAGCAAGAAGAAGCTTTCAACACTAGTGTGAAAGTTTCTCCTCTCAAGAACACCAGAGAACAAGAAACAGCTGCTGCCACTCCGACTTTAGGACAAACTACCAGTGTCAAGTCAGGCTTGGACTTTTTCGGACTAGGAACCATGTTCAGCAGAAGGGGTTCCACGGGGACAATAAAGGTGGTACACCTCTGAGCTGTAATTTCACCAGAGAGCATGGTGTTCCGAGTCAGCCGTTCAGTGATTTCAGAACTAAATACATCCACCAAAATCAGAGAGGCAGCCGGTAAGATAAATATATGATATATTTCTGGTTGTGTACGGACTTTGCTGCTGGTTAGGCGGTTGGGCGGGAAACCTGACCTGATTGTTTGTTTGTTTGCTTACCTAGGCGTGGCCCAAACAATTGAGTCTCTGTTGATTTGGCTGGTATAATCTTTGTTTGTGGTTATTTGCCAGTTAGTAAATGAATTTCTTATCTGAAAATGTTTCAGCAAGTTGTTTGTTGCAGTTGTTTGTTCATTTTTGGGCTCTGTGATTAGTTTCAATGGAAGATGAATTATAAAAGATAATGATAAATAGCTTATATTTTTCTAAGGGAACTATTTGATGTTTAAAACTACAGTTTAAAAAGTAATGCTAAAGGTAATTATGTAAACCCTGTAAATCTAATTTAAGGTTATATGTCTGCTTGATTGAAGGTTTTTCACCTGAGCTGACCTGAGCTGACATGCTGAAATAAACATAAAAGCAAAAAGTGAAGCATTGTTTCGGTCTCTGAGTGAAATCCAGTTTCTAAACTCTGTGGTGGATGTTTATCCCTCTCAAGTGGGGAAGCACAAAACAGTGCAGGACTTGACAACCAGAGTCCCAAAAAGAAAAACACCATTTGAAGTCACGAACAACAAAATAAGTTTGGATGTAGAAAATGGCGACTGGTGTTTAGCTCTCTCATGTACTTTGGCAATGTGGGTTTCTGGTTCCGGTGGACGCAGAACCAGTGAAGATACCCAAGGGGAGGTGTTAGTGTTTGCAGATTTGCCAAAACAGCTTTAAGGACATTTTAACCCAAATAAACAAACCAATTCTTTATTTTAATATCCAGATTACAGATTTACTGCTGTTCTTTGCTCTTATTTATCCTGCTCTGACTTTCTCTCCCTCTTTCTATTTTCTCTTTTAAACTCAAATGCTGTCATCTGGCCTGAGGTCAGCTTGTTTTAGAAATTGCACAGTTGTTGAATAACGTCTTCTACTCCCCAAAAACACCCCTCAAGCTTAAGAGGTGCTTTAGCTGCTACAATATTGGCTAACTTCTTCATGTTAAAACTGAATTAAGCTGAAGTATGCGGTTAGTAAATGTGCATTGCTGTGTGTACACTTAAGTCTTAATTTGGCTTTACCAGGATGTAGCCGTTGACTAGACTGGGTGGAGTGTCACACTTCTGGCGTGCAGGGAGGGAGATGTCAAAGCACTGGGGTTCCATGGTTCTGTAGAACCACAGAACAGAAGAAGAAGAAGAAATGATCATTTCTATAGCGCCTCTCAAGATAAAAATCACGAGGCGCTTCAAAAAACAAAGATTGTAAAAATATCAAAAAGCATTTAGAAAATATATAAAAATATGCTAAAATGAGCAAAAATAGGCAATTGTGATTACAAAAGTGTTAAGAAAGAGAGAGAGTGAACAGCAAAGAGGGAAATCAGTGGATCCTGAGGAAGGTGGGATAGGTGGGGAGAGCAGAATAAAGAGAGAGAGGTGAAGAAGGTCATACAAAAACCAGCTTGAACAGGTGAGTCTTCAGCTGCTTTTTAAAGGAGACCACTGAGTCCACTGATCTCAGGCTCAGGGGGAGAGAGTTCCAGAGTCTGGGGGCCACAGCAGCAGATGATCTGTCACCTTTGACCTTTAGCCTGGTGCTGCACAACCAGTAGGCTTTGGTCACTGGACCTCAGGGACCTGCTGGGGGTGTAGGGTGTTATGGAACGGACATATTGTTGTTGTTTAAGAAGTGCTACTGCCACCTAGTGGTAACTAAGCAGAATGTTCCTTTTTCTTGTAGAGGAAGTGGTCTATAGGAAGTAGTGTGTTCTTTAGCTGCTGAAGTGACAGCATTTATAATCTGATGGCAATCTTTGCAATCCTGGTGTTAAAGTTCACAATATCAGCTTCATCCGTAAGTTCCTATACATTTAATATGTATTAGTAAGTTTTGACACTGTTTGAGTTAAATCATATGGAGGCAGGTAGATGCTTATATTTTTTTAGCAGATGCCTCATCTGTGGTCGTGTGTTTTTTTACTAGAGAAATGTTGTTCTTCAAGTGTAATGGAACATGTCTTCATTGTGTATTTTGTATTCTTTTCTTTGTACAGTTTTACAGAAAAAGACAGAGAGAGAATTTATTTTCATCATTAAATCCTGCCAAACACAACAAGCGGCCTGTTTCTTGGAGGAGGAAGTGCTGGGAATAAAGGGATGTTAAGCTAGCTGTATAACTGAAATTGCGTTGCCTGCAACAAACTTTAGTGAGGACAGCATATAGGGACTAAGAAGATCACCCATGTAAGATGGTGCTTGTCCATGTAAGGCCCTATAGACCAGAACCAGGATCTTGAAATGAACCCTGAAGCTGACTGGCAGCCAGTGAAGCTGGAGGAGAAGCGGGGTACAGTACAGTACAGCAGTGTAAGCTGGTGAGCCGATAGTCAGCCAAAGACAACTGAAGAATTGAACAAATCATAAGAATAATTGTGGAAAAGATGGAGATGATGAAACTAAATCAGGTCTACATAACAGAGCTTGGTCTAACTTTAGGTACTGCAGCTCCTCTTCATCGTCACAGCCAGATGTCTGGGTCTGGTCGCCAATGCAGTGCTGTCCGCCATTCTGCGGGTAGGGATTAGAGCAGGAGCGACTTCGTGATCTTCGACCACCAGAGCATGATGACCAGGCAGACCAACAGGACCAACCGCCACTGATCACACCTTGATTAAAAAGATGATATGAATGAGAGAAAATAAGTTGTAAAAGATAAAAACGAAGCCATACTAGAGGAAAATCCCACCCTGTTGGCCCTCCACTTCAGCTCCATTTTCACAGGCCGGGCCTGTTGTGCCAGCCTTGCAGATGCATTTGCACACATCTCCGTCCCTCATGACCATGCCATTGTTTCTGCAGGGTTGGCAGTGGCAAGCATCATTCTCTTCCAGGTACTGTTCTATTGCCCTGCGGAGGTAGAGTCTCTTCACCCCGCTGCACTGAACCTCCTTCACCAGCTCTGAAATTGGCTGCAGCTAAAGTGAAACAAGACAGTTAATTTCTAGAGGGAGAAAAAGGACCTTGGATTTGCTGTGAAGTAAACACACTTGAAACCCAAACAGCTCGAGTTTTCTCACCTTTTGTTTAATGACGCCTGGAAATGAGCGCACCGATTCAGCCCAGTTTGAGTAAATTTCCCAGTTTGCATTTGGATCGTCAAGATTTACTCTTTGAAGTGCTGCAATATGTGAGACACCTCCTCCCTCTACATGCACTTTTTCAATGTGATTTTGGCTTGCAGCATCTTCAAAAGACAATAAACCAGAAAGTTATTTAAGCATTTCTGTTTGTTTCCAGTAATGTAATTTTAAACGTAGACTTTTACCGCTTTTCTTTGGTCTGTCAAAGTTGTCATCTATGCAATCCTCACGGGTAATGGGGAAAAAGAGGACCCAGTGTTTAGTCCTTGAACATTCATGATGAACCTGGGTTTCTCTGGCTTTAAAGGAAAGGAAAAAGGAAACGGTGATTACTGGCAAAAATGAGGAAATGCAAATATTTTACTGGATTCCCTTAACAAAATGTTAAGATCTTAAAAACCAAACACATTTGCAGTGGTCTCTAGTATAAATGAATGACTTATGAGGTAATCTTTGGGGTAAAAAAGATCTGGTGCTCCTGTTTCAGGAACTGGAAGTAAGCTAGAGAAGAGCAATAAACTTAATCATGATTACTTCCTGATATTCTGTCATCTGGCTTCTGATTGGCTAACAGAAACTCGACTCTACCACTGACATCTTTTTCTTTGCAACGTTGATGTTTTATCTCCCCAAATAACACAAGCCTGAAGAAGTTCCACCTTGTTGTAGAGTTGCTAATGCTAGCGGTTAACTTCTACTAGCCGAGACGTTCGCTGGTGTTTTTTGGACGCTAAACCAAAATGGGCGAGTCCACGATTGATAACTTAGGTGTGACGTAGCTCCGTGCTTCCTCGTCTGTTTTCGATCAGCGGCTAATGCAGGAAAGAGGGGTAGAAGACCATTTTCATTTTCAGCCTGCATGCTAAACACAGAGTGACTGAAGGTGTAAACAAGTAAAAAACTGTTTGAACTTTATCTTCAAGACAAAACACACTTCCATTAAACTGCATCTTTAAACATTCAAATCTGGGTTTAAGCTGCAAGAAGTTCCAATTAAAAAAATTAAATAAACATTTTCATTTGCTGTCTTAAAAGATTTAATGTCACGATCTGCTCCTACCTCCCTCTGACTCCTACTCTCTCCTGCCCCGATTAGTTTTTATTGGTCTCACCTGCCCCTTGTTGACCTGCCCATGTGTTCCTGATTGTTCCCTGTGTATTTATACCTCCCGTCTTGTATGTCAGTTGTCGGATCATTGTCGTATGTTGTCGTTCCCGCTGTATCATCTGCTATTAAATCCATTTTACTTTATCTTAGCCTGCATTTCTGCCTCCTGGTCAGCTCCACCACACACGGTCCGCCGCCACCCACACCGCAATGTGACAGAATGATCCGACCAACCTGGACCTGTGGTGAGCTCTAAACATCTGCTTGGAGGATTTTTTTTTTTTTGCTTTGTCTCCGTCCGGAGGAGGGAGATTCTGACTCAAGGGTTTCGGCGCATCCTACTTGTTCCCGGGGTGGTCGAACCCATTCTCCTCTCCTGCCTTTTGCCCCGTCCTGTTTGTCCACGGAAGCTACAGATCCGGGAGTTTTGGTGGAGTGACACCCCCTACGCACGCCAACATTCTCCGGAGTGGTAGGGCCGGTCTCCCCGCTCTTTTTCTGCTTCCCTTCACCCAAGCCTCTGCCTGTGACCCAGCTGATCGTGATGTGCACCTGCTCTGACTGTTGTCGAGTACCTGCTGCTGTTGCTGGTTTCCTCGCGTTGCTGCCTTCAGTACATCTACTTCCTGGTCCACGCCTGCGGGGCCTACGGCTGCAGGGTCTTCATCTGCAGGATCTGCCCCTGCAGGTCCTCCACGCTGTCGCAACCTCTACAGAGTCACGCTGATTCAGCAGCCTCTTCAGAGTCACGCTGATTCAGCAGCCTCTTCAGAGTCACGCTGTTGCAGCAGCCTCTTCAGAGTCACGCTGTTGCAGCAGCCTCTTCAGAGTCACGCTGTTGAAGCAGCCTCTACAGAATGCCGCCTCTGCAGCAGCCTCTACAGAGTCCCGCCGCTGCAGCAGCCTCTTCAGAGTCACACCATTGCAGCAGCCTCCACAGAGTCACGCCGCTGCAGCGGCCTCTACAGAGTCCTGCCGCTGCAGCGGCCTCTACAGAGTCCTGCCGCTGCAGCGGCCTCTACAGAGTCCCGCCGCTGCAGCGGCCTCTACAGAGTCCCGCCGCTGCAGCGGCCTCTACAGAGTCCCGCCGCTGCAGCGGCCTCTACAGAGTCCCGCCGCTGCAGCAGCCTCTACAGAGTCCCGCCGCTGCAGCAGCCTCTTCAGTGTTCCAGAGTCCAAGTTCCCCGAGTTCCAGAGTCTAAGTTTCCCCGAGTCTCCAGAGTGCAAGTTTCCCCGAGTCTCCAGAGTGCAAGTTTCCCCGAGTCTCCAGAGTGCAAGTTTCCCCGATTCTCCAGAGTGCAAGTTTCCCCGAGTCTCCAGAGTGCAAGTTTCCCCGAGTCTCCAGAGTGCAAGTTTCCCCGAGTCTCCAGAGTGCAAGTTTCCCCGAGTCTCCAGAGTGCAAGTTTCCCCGAGTCTCCAGAGTGACCCCTAGGTTCCGAGTCTCCAGAGTGCCCCCTAGGTCCCGAGTCTCCAGAGTGCCCCCTAGGTCCCGAGTCTCCAGAGTGCCCCCTAGGTCCCGAGTCTCCTGAGTCCCTGTGTCTTCCGAGTTATGTGCTTCTTGTGGGCGTCTGGTATCCGCCCCTTGAGGGGGGTTACTGTCACGATCTGCTCCTACCCCCCTCTGAATCCTACTCTCTCCTGCCCCTGATTAGTTTTAGTTTTTATTGGTCTCACCTGCCCCTTGTTAACCTGCCCATGTGTTCCTTATTGTTCCCTGTGTATTTATACCTCCCGTCTTGTATGTCAGTTGTTGGATCATTGTCGTATGTTGTCGTTCCCGCTGTATCATCTGCTATTAAATCCATTTTACTTTATCTGAGCCTGCATTTCTGCCTCCTGGTCAGCTCCACCACACATGGTCCGCCGCCACCCACACCGCAAGGTGACATTTAAACACTGCTAAAAGGAGCATCATTAGCTTTGTTAACATTTATTTTGATTTTAGGTCAATTAACAATGAAACAGCTGATAGCAGTTTGGTGGTGAAGCGAGCACAATGAATCTCATTTGCCAGACTGTAGTTGTATATGAAAAGAACAGATATATCCTCACCCAAGTACTTGTCAGTTGCTTCATTAATTGAGATGACGGCTTTGAAGGATCCTCCTAAGCTTCCCTCAGATATGTAGTGGGTCCCAAATCTCTCCAGAATCTTCCTGTAGGCTGAGTAGTCATAGACTAATGGGAGTTTTGCCAGTGCTTTCCAAAACTCCTCAGCTATCGGGAGGTACTTTGGAGAAGTACTCTGAAACTGAGCCAACTCTATGTCATTCTTCAACACTGTAAGCTTTTGGGTCTGTAAAGGGGGAGGGGAAAACATTTGCTTGTCACATGAAACATTTTTTACACTTGATGTGATTTTACCGTTTGACGATATAAAAAAAAAAGATGCAACCAGGGAAAGGAGAACTTCAACATACCTGAGTGATGTCACGTGTCTCGTGAAAGTCGTAGTTGCGAAATCCCGATGTGGTCCCTGTAACTTTCTCCCTTTCCACTTTATCCTTTGCATAGTGCCACTTACTGCTGAACATCTCACCACTGAAGTCATTTTTAACTGTAACCTGAGAACACAACAGAGTGAACATGGCTTGTGTTTCATGATAATCAACAACAACAACAACAACCCAAAACATATTCAAAGTACTCATTTCAATGCATCTGCTGTGGTCCTTTGTATAAATGAGTGTCTTGTGAGTCGTTCTCTCTAGAGAAAAAACACTCATGCTCCTGTTTCAGGAACTAGAGTGGAGAGGGGGGAGAAAAAGGCATTCCTCAGAGCTGAGCGTCAGCTCTGAGGACGTTTGCAGCCGCAAACAAAACGTCAGCAAGGTAAAGAAAAAAATCTTATCTGTGTTTAAAAAAGAACCAAAAATGTAATTTAAAGACAAAAACTGCAAGAACGTACCAAAGATGTTTAAAGAAAAAGGCATGATTTAGAGTTTTCTTTCTTAGCTAACAGCCAACGTTGATTTTTATCTCCACAGATAACACAAGCCTGAAGGGGTTCTGGTGTGTGGTGGAGATGATAGACACACACATTTGACCCTCTTAAAGCCGGGCGGACACTGTGCGACTTTTTCACTCATAGCACTCAGCTTCAGCTCAAACCGTACAACTTCATCGCAGGGCACATCTCACGAGTCAAGCGCTCACACTGTACGTCTGGTAGCAAGACGTCAGACCTAAAAATATGCTAAAAATAGCAGTTCTTACTCAACACGTCAGACTTTTTTGGTCTTGTTTTGCCTGTTGTCCTTCGGGAGTGCTGCAGGAGGACACACAGGGATTTATGGGGGTTGGATGAGGAAAACGAAATAAAGAAAGAAAATCTGTGTTTAGTGATCAGTTTAATTTGACATGAACACGACAAACACGCTTTCTTGACAATCTTTGTGAGTTAAAAACGTGTAGAAATAAAAACGAACACCGTGTGTTATTAGGGAAATAGCGGGTGAGCGGTGTTGATGCATGATTGCACATGCGCCGTGAGCGGTTCTGGTACTTTTTACACGCCAGAAGTTTGTGCGAGCTTATGATTGCTGATCGGTAGCTGGTCACGTGGTGTTAATCGCCTCTCGTAACCCCCTGTACACTACACGACGCTCGGCGCAAAACTCGCCCCGATCTCGTGGATTCTCGCACGAGTGGAAAATCGGCTAAAAAAAGTGAAAAAGTCGCACAGTGTACGCCCGGCTTAAGACGCTCTCACATTCGATGGGCAAAAGCCCCCCCATGCGTGAATCTATGAATGTTAATTTAAAGTGTGACGTGGATCAGCGTGGTCTTTTCTGACCCAAGTTTTCCCCGTGGTGGTGGTGGCTAATGCAGGGATTAGGGCTATAAGACTGTTTTCATGTCCTGCATGCATGTGAAAAAGTTCACATTTTAATGCATTGAATAAAACACGACGTGATATATGACTCATTTTGTAATTGACATCCTTTGACCTATGCAGTGACATGTGACAGCGCTGCAAAAAAATCTTGCAAATGGATTTACAAGACCACAAATTGAACAACTGAAACGTATGCATCTGCTGTATTGACTGAAACACATTTCAGATCTCTATGTTTGAAAAACCCCAAACATAAACTGTGCTGTTGGTGTACAAACCAAAAAGTTGTACTGGAGTACACTGAGGGGCAGCCGATACACATTGTTGTGGTTACCGCTGTAAACTGTTCGACACTGGCCCCCAAAGCTGTTTGTGTTGATGACACTGCCTCTTGTCTTTTCAGTCACCACATCAAACCTACAGAATTGTAGAAAAGAGCTTTACAGAAACCATCGTCGCTGTCTGGTCACATTTATTAAAGTGAGATTTGTTATTTACCCAAGTCCCAATTTCTCAATGTCCGGTGGGGGCGGAGCTTGGCCTGGACACGCGACAAACGTTTTAGCATCACAGACACGCTCATCCAGTCCGTCTCCTTCACAGTCCTGATCTCCATTACACAGCAGAGACTTGCTAATGCATCTTCCTGAAGGTCACAAAAGAGAAACTATTACCAAAGGGGCTGAATTTCTTAACTCTGCTTGACTTTTTAAGTGTATAAAGTTTGACTTGTAACCTGACTGACAACGAAACCTGTCTCCGCATCCATCCTCTAAAGGGCAGCCTTGAGTGGTTTCACAGGAACTGGTCTCAGACCGGGGGCCACTGCAGGGGCCACCGCCAAACTGAGCATAGACAACCATGGGTCGACTTCTTGTCTGAAACATAGCACAGTTAGTCAAAAGGATATTCTAGGAGTGACGAATGAGAAAATGAGTAAATAAATCTTTTCAGTGTCGTATAACCTGCAGCTTGGTGCAGGGGTCACATTCTGACCAAGTGCCAAAAGAGCCCCACCGGCAGGCAACTGGCTGCATGCAGAACCTTCAAAAGGAAAGTGGTTCCATCAGTGTGTGTACTACATAAACGCTAGTCTTTGTCTCATCGCATTTTGTGCACTGCAAAAATAATGAAGGAAGTTACACTCTGGGAGGGAATGAGATGAAGATCCACAGCAGAGCAGTAGAAATGAGTTCAGCGATTTTCTGAAAAAACAAAACAATCTGACATCACAAACGTGCAAGGTAGAAATGATACGATGCTAAAATGTACCTTGTTTGAATCTGAAATTTATGTTTGCTGTTTGTCTCTTTGAAAGAACAAAATGTACTTGCCTGCATGATGACTGAAGCCAGACCAACGCAGAAATGTTCAGGCTTTCACACTCTGTAAGTATCTTAAGGGGGTGTGTCACTGCTGGAAATACACCCGGTGGGATTCATCAGATTTCTTGAGAAACATTTTAAAAGGGATTCATGTAACACACGTGTGTGTGTGTGTGTGTGTGTGTGTGTGTGTGTGTGTGTGTGTGTGTGTGTGTGTGTGTGTGTGTGTGTGTGTGTGTGTGTGTGTGTGTGTGTGTGTGTGTGTGTGTGTGTGTGTGTGTGTGTGTGTGTGTGTGTGTGTGTGTGTGTGTGTGTGTGTGTGTGTGTGTGTGTGTGTGTGTGTTCCAAGAATGCTAAATATTTTAATGGCTCCGGCCAAAATGTTTTCCTCAGAGGATTCTTCTGAAAATGAAGCCAAATGTTCAGTGTGCAGTTTGACTTTTTGACATAAGAAAGTTTTTGTTGCTCTTTCAGTGAAACCAGTTGTTTAGAACTACTCTGTGATTGCTTTAGAGGCAGAGAAATCCAGTAAGTGACGTATGACGAATACAATTCCCATTGAAAATCAGTTTAATCTATGGAAAATAAACACGTTTGATTGGATTCATTTTTACAAAAGACTTGTTCACGAGTGAATATACAAAGAATTCTAAATCTTCTGGTTAAACATTCAAAGACCAATCAGGTTGATATTTCCATATTCACATAGATATTCATATCTTATTGGTCAAAGTGTAGGGTAGTATATCAAGCTATAAAGCACCCAAATACATACGTTTGTTACTCCCCTACACTGGTAAACACCCAGCAGTGTTTTTCAGGGACTAATAGGCAGTTTTCTATGAATGGTAAATGGCCTGTATTTGACATAGCGCCTTCTAGAGTCCTGGAACCCCCCAAGGCGCTTTAAAACACAATCAGTCATTCACCCATTCACACACACATTCACACACTGATGGGGATGAGCTACGATGTAGCCACAGCTGCCCTGGGGCGCACTGACAGAGGCGAGGCTGCAGAGCACTGGCGCCACCGGTCCCTCCGACCACCACCAGCAGGAAACGTGGGTTAAGTGTCTTGCCCAAGGACACAACGACAGCGACAGACTGAGTGGGGCTCGAACCGGCAACCTTCCGATTACGGGGTGAGCACTTAACTCCTGTGCCACAGTCGCCCCAGAAAGCAATAAGGAACGAATCCCAAATGAATGTAGTGCCTGTGGACTCTCTTTTGTAAACTTCAGGAAGGATGCAGATGATTTACAACATCGCAGTGATTTAACATCACTGTTACATCTTGATTTCACTCATCTGTCATTTCGTCATCCATCGTCAGCATCCATCCGTCTCGAAATGATGGAAAGTGAAGCCTCCTCCCAAGTACCTACCCAGGAACTAATCTGTACCTATTAGGTACTTAACCATTACCTGCTGCGTTTGCCTACCTTAAAGTGAAGCCTCCTCCAAAGTACCTACTGGGGAACGAATCTGTACTTACTCAATACTTCAACATTACTTATATGTTGTTACATGGCCATTTACCATAAATACATTGAGCTTATTCACACATCATTTTCTTTCATCTTGTGTGCGGTAATATTCCAGAGATGGGTGACCAAAATCCTGCAGGTTACAGTGTTACCTGACTCAAATCAGTCACTAACAAAATGTTCTATGTTTAGGGTACTTTTTTAAATAATCATAAAAGTACACAAAAATTAACTTTTACAAACACTCTAAAACTACCTATTCTTCCCTGCTTCATTACTCAGTACCCTTTAAGTCGTTCCCTAGTAGCAAAGCACAAATAGATAACTACCTATTAGTCTCTGAATAAGACTGCTGGGAGTTTACCAGTAAGTATTGGCTAACTACATATTAGACAATGAAACAAGACCGATGAGCGTTTTCACCAGAAACAACTGGTTTACTACCTATTCTTTCCTGCTTCATTACTTATTACCCCCTAAGTTGTTCCCTAGTAACGAAGCACAATTTTGCATACCTTATTGTAAAGTGTTTCCCATAATTTAGAAAAACAAGTCCGTTAATGGAAGGTCTAGCCAGGTTTCAGTTTCAAAACCACGCAGTGCCCTAGAAAACAAAGGTTTTTAGTTCTTCCTGTTCTGCTGTGGTTTTAGGTTCTTTTGGGCGTTACTTTAGAACGAACGTTTTTTTTCCCTCTGGTTCCTCAACTGACTTTCAGACATTTTGACAACTTACAAAGCTAAATCTGCTTGAAGAAACATCCCGTTTAATGTTTTACTAAACATTTCTTCAGTAACTTGGCTCACATCGCCAGCACGCTCTTTCTGCTGATGATGTTTTATATATTTTATTTGCAGCACTTTGCTTTAAACCAAGTTGTTTGAAAAAGTGTTATATAACATAATTCGGTCAGCATACTTCCATCTTCCTTCCATAAACCGTCTCCGCCCCTCACTGACCCCTCACACTGCCGCCATTCTCGTCCACAGCCTCGTCACCTCCCATCTCGACTATTGCAAATCACTTCTTTATGGTCTCCCCAACAAACTCCTTCATAAACTGCAACTGGTCCAGAATTCAGCAGCCCGTATTATCACCAGAACCCTTTCCTTTCACCACATAAACCGGTTCTCCAGCAGCTTCACTGGCTCCCAGTTAAATTCAAATCCATCTTCAAAATTCTCCTCCATACCTTCAAATCCATCCAAAACATCTCTCCTCCATATATCTCAGACCTTATAAGTATTCTCTCAGATCTTCTTCTTCCATCCATCTTGCTGTTCCTTCTGCCCGTCTCACTACCATGGGGAGCAGAGCTTTCAACCGCTCTGCTCCCCATCTCTGGAACTCACTTCCCCCAGACATCAGGAACATCGACAGTTTTACCCTTTTTGAAACCAAACTCAAAACACACATGTTTAAATCTGCCTACGACCTCTGATTTTATTGAACTGTTTCTCTCTTTGTTTTTTCTTCTTTGCATTTATTGTGGTTTTATTGTTGTTTTAATGTATTTTCTGAACGTATTTTCTGTCAAGTGACCTTGGGTGTTCTGAAAGGCGCCTTTACATAAAATGTATTATTATTATTAAAAGAACAGAGAGTGTTTACTTCCTGTCTTTGGTCGACTGGAGGTAAACAAACCAGCAGAGATGCTGATGGACGCAAAGTGACAGACGGAATATCATAAAATTATTACCAGAAATCTGTGAAAAACATAAAGCTTCAGATATTTTGCATCATTTCCACAAAATAAACATGTTTTATAAAATACAATTTCCATAATATACCAATGAGAGTCTGATCAGGATTTAAAAAAAGAAAAAAGAAAAATTTACTGGAAAAATAAAGTTTGTCCTATAAACACAACAAAAATGTATCTTTTTAAATGTCAATCTCTCATTCTTGTTCTTTGTCTCCCTCTGTTGGACATACAAACTCATGACATTTAAAACAAAGGCAAGCGCAAGTGAGCTGGTTTTAATAACAAAAGTTTATTATCAATGTAAAATGACCTATTACAGCTTTAACTACCATATCTTCACCTTTGCCTTAGACGTGTGAGATCATTTTTAATGTCTGCACAGCGAGCAGCCCGTTTATCAACCCATATGCAAGCATTCTTCTCTAATCCCCTCCTAATTTCAAAATAATCCAGAGCGTAAAGAGTATGCCTACGTACGAGTCTAATGTCTCAATTGATAGATAGATATTGTGTGCAAAGAAGTTTCCTGTTGAGTAATGTATCACATATTTCTTTTTTTGAAGCTGAAAAGTTTAAGCTGGATACAGGTTTTTGGTTTATGGAAGACTAAATTAAGTACATTTAGAAGAAAAACGGCAAGAAACAGAAACTAGAGACTGCAATACACGACAAACGTTATTTTTTCCCCCAGTTGCCTCATTTGTGACAAAAGTTTTGCCCTTCTCCTTGCGTGTTTCATCCATTACACAGTCACATGGCATCTCTTAATAAGTTATATTATTTCTGACAAAACAAACATTTATATTCCCTTTTTCAAACATGAATCATTCACACAGGATTGTCAGATTATTTCAACACTGACGTTTCAGATCATCTCTCGTACTTTTTCCACGTTGGACGAGCAGAATTCTCCCTTAATTTACCCAAAAAGGGGGGAAAAAACTTCTGCCAAATAGTTTAAAATATTTGTTCACGAGTCTTGTTTTAAGTACATTGCAGTTACAATTCCTCTTTGTATTACAAAATAAAATTATAAAATGATCAGCCTTTGAAGAAAAGAGCAAATACATTTGAAAGTGGCAGTAATAGATTGGTGGGAGACACAACTGGTGACAGACGGTGGGTAATGGTGTCTTTGTTTCCACCTCCTACATGTGGAGGTGGGGCCTTTAGCTGGTTACCAGGCAACAGAGTCCAAAGAATCGCCGTTTCCTCTGTCGGACAAGTGGGTAGGGAGTCAGGTTCAGCAAACTGCTGTCGTCTGGTGAAAGAAAAAAACAGGGACAACAACAACCACCTGATAAGTCACAGAGCTTTAAAACAGCGTGTAATCTTAATAATTGGTGCTTATTTTTTATTTAGTCACACTTAAAATATATCTGATAAACTTATGCACTTAAATTAAAGTCAAACAGAAGTTTATTGTTTGTGTTTTTGGAAGAAAATTAGTTTTTGTACTTGTGTCACTTTTTAAAAAGTGTATTTAAAGGGACATTCCACTCCTAAGTGAAATTACCACATTCCTCGGAGTTAGATCAGTGGGGCAAAAAGGATTTTGTAACCAGCCCAGCCATTCTCTTAAACTGGTAGGATTCTGTTAGCTTTAGCTTAGCATAAACAATGCAAGTGAATGGTAACAGCCAGAATTTAGACTTGGGACTATGTTCTGACAAAGCAACGCTGCAAAGACAAGGCTCAGAGGTGCGGCGTCTGGTAGACATTATCACTTCTACGTTAACTGTATAACATTCGCAACATTTCACTAGCCTAGTGAACTAGACCAAATTCTTGCTTTGCAAAGTTTGGTCTAGCAACGCTCCATTGGAACCTCTGCAGCCCCAACAGCATTCTGGCTGGCCAATCACAGCTCTCTAGAGGGGTTTCAAACACATAAAGAGCTGTGACTGGTCCATAATGGTAGGCCAATCATAGTGCTCTATCTGCTTAGTGAACAATTCACAGAGCTTTATCCGCTTTGTGGGCCAATCAGGGCACTCTATATGCCTGGTGGGTGGGATGATGCAACAGAGTGAAACAAGATGGCGACAGCTCGTTTGAAAAGGCTTTATATCAGTTTTGGACGATTAGAACTTGGGCTTCATTAGAATCAGGAGCAGATAGATGTATTTAAGTGTTTATGTTTAGAAAAAATGACGCGTTTTCCCCTTCTTCAACTGCGGACCGCCTCATTTACCGATAGCTGTTGCGGTGAGTATGTCACATTCATTGTCCAGCAGCGTGCGGAGATCATTTGAAAGACAACGGTAGAACCCGCCCCACAACCGAGAGCCGTCAACGGAGCATTGCCAGACTAAATAATACATTTATTTAGTCTGGATTGCCAGGCTAACATTTCACCCTAATGATGGTAAACGGCGACTTATGGGGGCTTTACACCACGTCTTTGTGCCTTGCAGCTGCAGCGAACAGCGGTGCTTTGTTGTAATGTAGTCCCAACTCTAAATCAGCTCCTGTAATCCCTTCATGTTACTAATTATTTTCTTTGGCAGTCAGTGGGATTATTTAGGTAATCAAAATTAATTAGGGCCATTATTGAGTCATTTTCAGGACTATTTGACACAAAATGCTAGCTGTTACTGTTCACTTGCATTGTTTATGCTAAGCTAAAGCTAACAGAACACTGCCAGATCAGGAGAACACCTGAGCTGGTTACAAAATGCTTTTTCCCACTTATCTAACTCTGGAGAATATGGCAACAGACTAAATGTCATATAGGGTGCAAAATCCCTTTAAATACCCAAAACAAGAATGAGCAGCTGATTGAGTAGGGTTCTTGTAGCACAAGCAACATTATGAAATCATTTTCTTCAAAAGACCTTTAGAGTAAATGTTTATGTTTATTCATTTGGCAGACGCTTTTATCCAAAGCAATTTACAATTTATAACCTATAGGGCATGTTGTGATCTGTGGGGGAAACCGGAGTACCCGGAGGAAACCCAAGCATGCATGGGGAGAACACACAACTCCATGCAGAAAGGCCGCAGCCGCGCCGAGTTTCGAACCTGCAACCTTCGTGCTGCGAGGCAACAGTGCTAACCACTGCGCCACCATGCAGCCTGTAAATGCTTGTAAATGTTGAAAAATTACAATAGGGTGCAAAAGTCTATAACTGTCGGTAATCCATCTTGGACTGAGAGACCATCTAAAGGCTCAGGAACCCTTTGCAGATGTTTTGGATTCATTAGCTGATTAGAATGGAACCTTTTGACAACATTCTACATGTCTGAGATTTTGAATGTGGGGTTTTCATAAGCTGTAATCCATAATCATCCCAATTATGAAAACTAAAGGCTTGAAATATCTGCCTTTGCATGGAATGAGTCTGGAATGAGTCTATCTCACATATTAGTTTCACCTTTTAAGTTTAATTACCATATTCTAATTTAATGAATTTTCGACTATGTTCGCAGGTAATTATGAGGGGCCACGAGGGACATTGCTCTAACTTACTTTTTCTATATTACTCAAACACACACATACAAAAATGCAAACGTTATTTATGCATACGTGTGTAAATGAGGTTTTGACGTGTGTGTATGAGAAGTAATTCAGAATAATGTCCCTGGTGGCCCCTCATCTTTGGAAGAGGACATTTTAGTCATGTTTAGTCTTAGAGAGTGAAATTGACTTACCTGAAACAAAAAAAAACCTAACAAAATGATAAAAAATTTTAAATAATATGGGAAGGTTAACATTTTCATACATTGCTATCACCTTCATTCCTATTACACGAATTCTGTTATTAATACTTACTGCCTCAAATTAATTTAAAAAATGTATGGAATTAAAAGAGTTCAAATTCCTGCTTCTGATATTTTATGAAGATTGGATTAATAATCCAGTAATTTCATAACTGGATTCCGAAAATTTATCAGATTCAACATTCATGCTTCAGGTGCAATTAAAAAACACCGAATGAGGAGTCCATATCTCTCACAAGTGTTTTTGCATCGTTGTTCTCACCTTGGTTCTTCAGCGGTAAAGGCATTGTCTCCCTGAGTTTACTGAGAAGGTTCTTCATATCTCTCATATCCCTGGAAAAAATAGTTAGCAGCTGTGTATCTGTAGCACCAGTAAGTATATTCTTAGATACAAAAACACACATGCAGATAACACTACAGCTCCTTATAATAGAAAATTGTCATTTTCAGAATCAAATTATTACAATTTTAATATGCTCAAACTGTTTATTTCCCCACATGCAATTCATTTCTACCTACTTTTCAATATTTTCTATGTCAGTGGCCACCAACCAGCAGAGCTTGAGGACAATCAGTGGGTGACGAAGAGGTGTCCTCCAGGATCGGGATGTCTGAGTCTTCGGTTTTGCTGTCGATACCTGGAGGCCCACATGAATCGTTGCCTAAAGAACACAGAGAAAAATGTTCAGAATGAGTAAAAGAAACATTCAAAAAAGAGACAATTTGATTATTAGGAGATTATGAAGTGCAAAGTTTTACAGACAATGTGAAGAGAGACAGCAGCAGAGAGCTGTAAATGGTTATAATTGTGCATATCTGTCTAAATAAGATGATCATCTTCAGACAGGACTGCTTGCGTCACTCTGCAGTAATTGAATTGAGTGAAACATTGCATGCTATCTGTAAACTACCCATCAGGCATCTCTGTGTTTGGACCTTTTCGGTGGAGCTGCTGGGATCCCAGCAAGCAGACAGATTTCAGCATTTCTGTGATGTACATTTCCAGACAGCACTGCAGCTGGATGAAGAGCCTGCAGATCTCAGGGTGGATTTCTCCATCTTCAGGCCTGGAAAAAAAAAGACCATACTAATGCAAAGTTTGATGAACTGCATTGCATTAAAATGTTGTATTTCTATTAGGGATGTGACTTTTATCTAGTTGATCAGAGTCTTTATAATTAATTAACCTTGATTAATAGCATTTTAATCGTTCAAGACAATTTGACCCCAAGTAATGTGCTTTTTTAATATAAAAAATGATATTAGTGAGGCAGAGATGACATTCCCACACTTATATTTCTGTAACCACCCTATTTGATTACTTTGGTCTCATTATAAAGGTAACCTTTGTAGGATTTGTTGGGATGTGTAAATTTTAGTACTTGTGTTACTGATGAAGTGTAAATGAACATGGAACATTGTAAATGTTGTGTACTGAACTGAACACTAGGTGGCAGCAGAGCATTGCTTATATATATTTATATATATACATATATATGTATATATATACACATATATATACATAGAGAGAGAGAGAGGACGAGAGAGAGGAGAGAGAGAGAGAGAGAGAGAGAGAGAGAGAGAGAGAGAGAGAGAGAGAGAGAGAGAGGAGAGAGAGAGAGAAGAGAGAGAGAGAGAGAGAGAGAGAGAGAGAGACGAGAGAGAGAGAGAGAGAGAGAGAGAGAGAGAGAGAGAGAGAGAGAGAGAGAGAGAGAGAGAGAGAGAGAGAGAGAGAGAGAGAGAGAGAGAGAGAGAGAGAGAGAGAGAGAGAGAGAGAGAGAGAGAGAGAGAGAGAGAGAGAGAGAGAGAGAGAGAGAGTGTTCAGGGGAAGTTCTGCTGAGGGTTACCAGATGAATGCTGCGTGAATGTTGTATGTTCTTCCTTCCTGTTGTAATAAAGTTTCTATGGATACTACCTGCGTGCTTTCGATCACCTACCACAATGAAACAGTAAAAAAGTGGATATTTTTTCTTACTGTTCGAAATGGAGAGCGGTTTGTCATGATTCATTTTTTGTAGTTTTAGTTGTTTGGAGTACGTACAAAAGGTTTATATGGTCTTGTAGCTCAGGCTCTGCAAGTTTTTTTTAGAAGTACAGCTCAGTGATATTTACTAATATATAGGGCATAAACTGTGATCCCAACCATGGTATTACTGTGCTCAACTGGCCTGCCAACTCTCCTGACCTGAACCCCGTAGAGAATCTGTGGGATATTGTGAAGAGAAAGTTGAGAGAGACAAGACCCAACACTCTGGGTGAGCTTAAGGCTGCTATCGAAGCATCCTGGGCCTCCATAACACCTCAGCAGGGCCACAGGCTGATTGCCTCCATGCCACGCCGCATTGAAGCAGTCATTTCTGCAAAAGGATTCCCGACCAAGTATTGAGTGCATAACTGAACATAATTATTTGAAGGTTGACTTTTTTGGTATTGAAAACACTTTTCTTTTATTGGTCAGATGAAATATGCTAATTATTTTAGATAGGAATTTTGGGTTTTCATGAGCTGTATGCCAACATCATCAATATTAGAAACAATAAAAGGCTTGAACTACTTCAGTTGTGTGTAATGAATCTAATATATATGAAAGCCTAATGTGTATCAGTACATTACAGACAATAATGAACTTTATCACAAAATGCTCATTTTTTTCAGAAGGACCTGTATATCAGCTGTGTTCATGATCTAAAACTTACAGGAAACATGCTGGAAGCAGACTGCAGTGCTAGCAATGTAAGCTCCACTTTTACTGATTCCCAACAGGGACCAGCCCGCTACTCTGAAGTTGCAAGTGCGGTTTTCAGGACACAGAGGGCGGTGGGAGTCTGAGTGACATTTCATTAACCCTGTAAAGGGTTATTTAAACACATATTGGCTCAAGAAAATAATTTAAAATATGAAAAAGTTGCATAATATACCTTTAATTGAAATCAAACGGATCATCAGCTTATGAGACACTTTCTTGCATCACAATTAAACACATCGTCTGCTCAAGAGGACATGAAATGCCTTCAGATGAAATCACAGAGGAAAACAACAGATTCAACGTGTGAAACGTGCACCTTGTGCACATATTTCTCACACAGATCATCCTGTTGATTCTTCCAGCAGCAGGCTTCTCCTCCGTGCTTGCCTTGTTTAGTAACAGAGCTGCCTTCTGCAGCCCTGTTGCTGAAGCACAGCTGTCACCGCTTCTATCAGCTTTCTTCAAAGCCACACAGGAGCATGCCTGCTCCAGAGAAGCTACAAAGAAAATTGGGCTTTGATTTGTCGGAGTGGAATGAACTTTGCTCTTTGACTACATTTGCATCTCTTCATTAAGAGATTTGAAATGGCTTTAATAGCAGTTGGTTTGGAATTTGCCCTGGTTTAATTAATAGGAAATGTGTTTTTCTTGCTATCTGTGGAATGTTCCCTTAAAAAGTTGCTGTGTCATCTCTATTCAGAAAGAAAAAAACCTGGAAGTTCAAATTTGGGACACTCAAAGTTTACGGTTTTGGGTACAACTGCATTTTGAATAAAAAGAGATGCCTTACTTGTGCACATTTGGCTCAATGGTGGATTTGGAAGGTTTATTTTTAAAAACTTGACTGGTATAGCAGTGTGTGGTTATAATGTTTTCTGACAAATCATGCATCACATCTTTTGATTTGCTTGCAGCAAACAATGATGGATGTAAATTCTTTATATGATACAGAAAACAGAAGAATTAATACGTCTTTAAAATGTCTCAGTGCATCAGAGTCTAACGAGCTTTCCAAGTGAATTTTAGAGAGCATGCTAATATTATGAAATTTTAGGATTTGGTAAATTAAATAATAATAATAATAAGTATGTATTAGTTACATTTAAGTCATGAGATAGATCATTGCCAGTTCCTTTTGTTTTGCGACTCAGTGACGTAGAAGTACTAGAAAGAAGTATGACTTCAGGAGTACAGTTATACATACCACCTTAAACCAAATGTGCATCAGACTATGGAGCGAAGCATGGAACAATTTGAATGAGGAGATAAACACGTGTTCAGTTGTAAATAAATTTGAAATACTTTATGAAGATAAAAATTCAAAGTCGTGTACTTCTGAGTTAAAATAAGAGACTGATTGTTTACAGCTTAGACTATGAGGAGTTTAACGTTTACGGTCATGACATTTATTTTGTGTTTATTAAGTAAGCTCGAGTCAGCTGCCTTGTTAGTGCAGCTGAGGGCTAATCCAAGGGCTTGTTCATTCTTCTTCCACTGGCACCACTGTAAAGAGGATGCTGTGGGCCAAATGGTAAATGTTAAATGGCCTGTTAATGTTTGATATAGCACCTCCTAGGGTGCCACAACCCCCCAAGGCAATTTACAACGTAACTAGTCATTCACCCATACACACACACACACACACACACATTCCCACGCTGGTGGTGATGAGCTACAATGTAGCCACTGCTGCCCCGGGGTACACAATGACAAAAGAGAAGCTGCCAAGCATGGTGCCACTGGTCCCTCTGACCGCCAGCAGCAGATGACAAGACAGACAGCCTCAAAACTTTTCATGCCTTTACCACTGCTGTTAGACAAAACTGCCAACAACCTAAAAGCCATGTATCATGCAAAATCCACTTTTGGAGCTTTTTGACCATATTCAATTGTTATTCTCTCTTGAAAACACCTAATGGCTTCATGCATGAATTTCCCTTTTCAGCTGCTTCTTTCCTTCTACTGTGCCTAACTGAGATAAGCTGCTACAAACAGCTGGATGGGGCCTGCTTTGCATCATCCTCACCCTGCTCCTCCCCATGCACGTCGACCTGAATCTGCAGCAAGCTTGAACCTGTGATTTCCGAGTTAGCACCGATGGGAATCACATAGGGGGAGGCAGGGATTCATCAACAAAGTGTCTTTATTTGAAGGAATGGCTCACAAAAATGACATCAATAGTGTCAGCAGTAATATTTTGTCATATACTTGGTCAGTCTTTGCTCTGGGAGGTGTGTTGTGGTAAGCCAGTACTAGTATTAAAAAACATTTGTGGTAGAAAGATAGACCATGAAAAGGGTGAAATTCTACAAGACAGACGTGTTATTGTCTCTAAACTGGTATTTAAATATACAACAAAATATTGGCCAACGAATGCACACAGAGAGACCCTTTTAATATATTAAAAGTGGGGGAAAGCGTCTGCTTCGCATTATAATACTAATGTGTTGGATATTCATCCTGGGAGGCATCCCACTTCCACTCCGCTCTGCATTAGGCAGCTAAATGGAAGTGATCAGTTACAGCATGTTGTTGTGATTGCTTCCTGGCAGAGGAAAACGGGAAAACCTATTTTTTTAAGTTGTGCCGGTGTTTTTGTTAGTTTTCTACCCCCAATCCAAACTCTGGTAAAGGTGAGCAGCTGTTCTCTTTGCAGAAACGTTATTTTAAAAACAATGTGCAGATAAAATAAAAATGAGTATTGAGGAAAAAGTAGGTTCCACATTGAGGTGCTGCAGAATTACAGAGCGCCCCGCACGGTGCGCTGCGTGATGGCGCTGCTGTGCAACAGTTTTCAGGACCACGGACAGCGTCTGTGCCAACTCACCCTGAAATCAAGGAGAGACTCTGGTGAGCCGCTCGCGCCATTTCGCAGCCTTTAGTTCGGGTCTTGAGCATTTCGGTCCGCAGGGAGGGACAGTCAACAGTGATTTCACCGATGGAGATGACCAGCTCACGGTAGAGAGCCACAAGTGTGTTGAATTCTTGCACGATCTGTGTCACATAGAGGGGGAAAATCCAATCACACAAGAAATGTTAAAAGTCCGCGCCACATAAATGTGAACTTTTGCTTGAATGTGACCTCCTGTACTGATGCAGCACACCATTCTTTATGAGGTGGTTAATGTTAAAGTTAATCATTGATACAAGAGCTGACGTGCAGGCGCATACACCAGAATGAGCATTTTTGCAGGCATGCAGTAAAAACGTGACTTATTTGGTAAAGTGAAGCACCGCCATTAAAACACCCTGAAAAAAAACAGCGTGCATGTCTGATTAATAATCCAATTTAATCGTCTGCTCGACCCAGAGAGCCTGAACTCAGGGGTGAAAGTGTTTTTGATCGTTGTGTGCAACTCCTGCATCCCGCTGCAGTCCTGAAAACGACCAGCGAGGCTCCACGACAAGAACTGATGAATGAACAAGTAAAAAAAATAAAAATAAGGCGACATCCATCCTGTCAGTCTGTGTCAAAACACGGGGACGTCTGTGTCATTATCACGAACCATCATCATCAATGATCGTGTGGAAATCTGCTCGAACAGCCTGCACCTTCTGACTCTCTAAATGCAGATCACACAGCCCATATGCATGTTTGGCTTCACGCGCCGGAGACATGCAAACAGCTATTTTTAGGCAGTCAGACCAAGGTACAGTTTTCCTCTGCCGCCTGTGAGTGCCGCATGCACGGGGTGTTAGATGATCCTACAACAAAGACATGCTGAGCAGTAGCTCACGTTTCTCATCAGAGGCACCATGCGGGGCTTTGGCGTGCCGCAGACCTACCATTCTGCAGTCGGCCACGGCGCGCTGGGCTTTGCGGGTACTTTCGGTGCTCTCCCTCCTCTGTGGGTCTCGGTGCGGAGGCTTTCCGATCTGGAAGATGTTCCCGGCGGATCTGGGGCGGTTTTTTCGCCCATTCGATGCAGAACTCATGCATACACATCTACTATTAAAACAGCCCTAAGACAGAACGATTTTTGTCCGGTTTCCCCCCCACCCCCCAAAAAAGAAACTCCACCACTCCTCCGGTCTCACCACGTCACAGTTCGCCGTTCAGGGCTGGGCTTAAACCTCGTTTGTTATTGCTCCCGGTTGCTTCCCGTTATTGCGGGAGAGTGCCCAGACGAGCCTGAGGGCGCAGGGAAAGTAAGGGATGAACGCCTGTGGCTCCTCTCCGCATTGCTTTGGCTGCGACGGGGCTCGAGTCACCTTCACTCCAGCAGCACTAAGGTGCACAGTAAAGTCTTCGCACCCAACCAGGAGTCCAGCTCGCTGAGTTGTCTTTTGTGACGCACCGATGTAAGACCACATTCACGGATATTCTCCAAATGCAACCATGTTTTATGATTGCGCGTTTCCATCAAGTACCGGAGCAACAGCGATCTTCTCTTAGCTGCAAAGCCGCATGCAGAGGCGAAAGAGGAAATGGAAAAAGAAAAAATCGCAGCCTACACCTTGAGCTGCTGTGTGGGGGAAAATCTTGAATGAAGGAAATAATTCCCGGTGTCCGGCTCCCGCCGTGCGCCGTTTCCTCTGAGTGCTTCCAGCCAGTCGGGCGGGCCTATCTCTAACCTTGGAGAGGCAGAGAGGAAGACGAGCAGTTGCTGGAGGCCTGACGTGGCTCTGAGGCTGGCAACACTGCGCACCCGAGAGACGCGAATGCTAAAAGGACCCATCAGCTCAGACCTCCACCCTGCAGAAACTCCCAAACGCGTAAAATCCAGATTATTGATCACTTTGCCCCCACCGTCAGATCCTCATTACAACAAAAATTGCCATTAAAAACTTTCTAATTTAACTTCAGCTTTCATTTGCACCAAAGTGTATTTACAATGGTACAAATCTATGCTTGAAAAACTAATTGAAGTCAACACTTATCAACAAACTAAACATTTTATACCCTTATCAGTGTTGTGGATCACTGATGTCCAATCCTGCAGGTTTTTGATGTTTTACTGCTCCAAAAAACACGATTAGGCGGTCGAGTTTGTCTGCAAGTTCTGCAAAAACATGATAGTCGCCTATTGATTCAAACCAGGTGTGTTGGAGCAAATGCAGATCTGACATACAGAGTCAAACCAGGGATCAAACTCACCTGTGCAAACAGACCCAAGCTATAGATATGAAACAGTATAAGGACTTGCAGAAATTATATGTTTTTAAGGAGACATATGACATTTTTCTTCATTTACTTATTATAGTTCAACGGTTGATAAAAATATGTTTTCTGCTTGAAATACCTCTTACAATACGATTTCAGCAGTTTTATTCTCAACAATTTCAGTACCTTCCACAATGAGCCTTTCAGGGCTGTCACAAGCTGGAGTTGAGCATGCCACTGAGGCAGCTATAAGCCGAGAAGCTACGGTATTCTCCTGAGGGGCTAGATCTGTTGCTGCTCCAGGTGGTAGGCACTTCTATGCAAGGCTGAACGGTTTTAGGAAAAGCCTGAGTTGAAATTTTTCTAGCAGAAATTATTATAGAGACAATGTCCTGCCCACGGCCAAAATCACACGGATTAAATATCAGGCTTAATAAAGCAAATCATGGAAATCTCATAAATATTAGATCAAATTCAACTGAGCAGAAAACTAGAAAAATTAAATGTGGGTTGTTGAACATTAGATCCGTTTTTCTAAGACTTTTTTAGTTAATGACTTGATTTGTGATAATCAGATCTCTTTGCTCTCTCTCTCACAGAATCCTGGCTGCAGCAAGAGGACTATGTTAGCTTAAATGGGTGGACTCCTTCAAATTATTTAAATCATCATATTGCTCGAAGCACAGGGCGAGGAGGAGGAGTAGCAACCATTTTTCATTCGGACTTATTAATCAGTCCCTTACAAATTAATAGTTACAGTTCGTTCGAACATCTTATTCTTAGTTTTCCTAATCCAGATTGCAAAACTGTAAAACCACTCTTGTTTGTAGTTTTATATCGTCCACCAGGCCCTTACTATGAGTTTTTGGATCAGATCTCTGATTTTTTATCTGATTTGGTGCTAAATACTGATAAGGTCACTGTAGTGGGGGATTTTAACATTAATGTGGACATTGAAAATGATAGCCTCAATGTAGCCTTTAGTAATATCTTAGACTCAATTGGTTTTACTCAAAGAATACATAGCTCCACCCACTCCTGCCATCATACATTAGACCTTGTGCTGACTTATGGTATAGAGTGTGAGGAAACAACAATATTTCCACATAATCCAGTCCTCTCGGATCACTTTCTGTTAACCTTTGAGTATTTTATAACTGAGTTCTCGAGACATGAAAGTAAATTTCACTATAGTCGGTCTCTATCTGACAACGCAGTTGCATCTTTTAAATCAACTGTTCCATCTTTACTGTCCTCAGAATCTCAGAGGAACGTAGCAGAGGGCAATATTTTCATTCCTAGCCCCTCACAAATTGATGCCTTAATTCATCATGTTAATTCTTCTTTACGTGTGGCATTAGATGATCTTTAAAAATTTAGGTAATTAGGGACAGGAAGTTGGCTCCCTGGTTTAATTCTCATTTACGAGCCTTAAAACAAAACTCTAGAAAATTGGAGAGGACATGGCACTCTACGCACCATGAGGAGGCCTACCTATCCTGGAAAAATAGTCTTGTGCTTTATAAAAATTAGCTTCAACAAACTAGAACTGCTTATTTCTCAGCACTAATTGAGGAGAATAAGCATAATCCTAAATTTCTTTTCAGTACAGTTGCTAAACTTACACAGAATCATAGCTCTGAGCCATCTATTCCCTTAGCCCTCAGCAGCAATGACTTCATGGGATTTTTTACAAGTAAAATTAATTCTATGCTTTCGTTCTTTTTTAAACACAGAAACAGTTTTGTTTACCTGTTTTGTAGCTACAGTTTCGCCGACGGCTGCCGGCTTCTTCAGGCTGACGCTGATGGTGGCGCGTCACTTCCTTCTCCGTTTATCTGCGGGCAGCAGAGGACGTTGTCGCCCTCTACTGCCCGCTCTCCCCTCTCCGACGATGCAGTCCCATGCGTGGTCCAGCGTGTAAACTCCGTCGTCCCTGTTCATGGTCCCACATCCACGTTTCCTTATCTCTATTGCTTCCTTGATCCATCTTTTGTATTTTTGTTGTTCAGTGGTTATGATCCGTGTGCTGTCCCAGTCCATTATATGGTTTTCTCTTAAGCAATGATCTGTTACGGCTGACTTTTTTATTGTACTTTCTGCTTCTTCTTTTGCTGCTCTTGTGTGTTTACGATTTGCCTCTTTCTCGCACTCCTTTCTGTGTTCTATTGTCCGTGTATTGAGTTGGCGTCCGGTTTCTCCTATGTATGTTTTATTGCATATTTTGCATGGGATTTCGTAGATGACTCCACATTTTTGTCCAGCTGATATTTTGTCTTTTGGGTGTACTAGTCTGTTTCTAACTGTTGTGTATGGCTTTGTTGGTGTGTTTATGTTGTGTTTTTTCATTGTTGCTCTTATTCTTTCCGTTATGCCTCTGATGTATGGTAGGGTTATCACTGGTTTTGGTTCTTGTCTTTCTGGGTTTCTGGTTCTTTTTTTGGGTTGTTCTTTGCTTTCTGTTTTTGTTTGTTGTTTTCCTTTGTTTATCGCCCATGTTCGGTACCCGCAGGTCTTTAAAGCGTGTTGTATGTGTTTGTCTTCTTGTTTACGGTCTCTCTCTTCTGTTATTATGTTTGCTCGGTGATATAATGTTCTGATTACTGACATTTTGTGTATGGTGGGGTGTTCTGATGTCCATAATAGATATTGGTCTGTGTGTGTTGGTTTCCTGTATGTGTTCATGTTTAGGGTCCCGTCGGTCTGCCTGGTGATTTTCATGTCCATAAATGCTATGCTGCCTTCTGTTTCTAACTCATAAGTGAATTTTATGTTGCCCGTGTCATCAATATTGTTTAAGTGTTGTGTTAGTGTTTCTGTTTGACCTTTTGGTATGATTTCCAGTATGTCGTCTACGTAGCGTTTCCATAGTTTTATTTTGCAGTTGGGGGGGCGGTGGCTATGGCTTTTTGTTCCAGGTCTTCCATGAAAAACTCGCACAGGGTGGCTGATAACGGGTTGCCCATGGCGAAGCCTTCCAGTTGTTTGTATATTGTGTTGTCGTATGTGAAGTAAGTGGAGTTAGCTACTAGTCCTATCAGTTGTGCTATGTCGTCTGCTGTGAGGTTTGTCCTTTTGTGTAAAGTTTTGTCTTGTCTGATTCTGTTAACTACTATGTCTATGGTTTTTTGGGTTGGTGTTTTTGTGAACAGGGATGTGATGTCATGTGAGATGAGTATGTCGTTGTCTTCTATTGTAATTTTCTTTAGTTCTTTTGCCAATTCTATGCTATTTTTGCAGTGTTGGTCTGTATTTCCTAATAACGGGCTGATGATTCTGCTGATATCTTTTGCCATCTTGAGCCAGGATTCTCTGTAGGTTTCTTCCTGTTAAAAGGGAGTTTTCCTCTCCACTGTCGCTGCATGCTTGCTTAGTATAAGGATTTCTGTATAGTCACTGACACTCGTCACTGGCGAGTGTCAGTGACTTGATGGAATTTGCTGGGTTCCTTATATAGGAAACATTATTTCTGATTGGCCTAATGAACTGACCTGAATTGGAATGTTTATTATGTGAAGTGCCTTGAGACGACTCTTGTCGTGATTTGGCGCTATATAAATAAACTTGAATTGAGTAAAAATTGAATGGCTTTTCTTCAAATCAAGGTTCAGCACATAATTCATAATTCACAATTTGCAATAACATATACAAACATGACAGGAAATGATATACTATAAAATCACACAATAAAAACATTTACAGCTAATAATGAATGTTTTTAAATTATTTTTTTATTCAATACATGTTTATATTTTATGTACTTGTGAAGCACCTTGTGATTATTTATTGGTGCTATAAAACAAATCCATTATTATTCTACTCCGATAAGCACCGAGGATAACTGAAGGTAAAACATACTTTTAACTTTATTTCTTGACAAAAAACATGCATGCAGAGTTTTCCCTGCATCATTTTACCAAGGTGTTCTGCCTCGTCATTTTCCTTGACTTGCCTGGGAAAATCCCAACCCCTGCTTGCTGCAGTTGGAAACATTTTTAAAACTAGGGGAAACCCCCAGATGTCTAAATTAGTTAACTCAACAGATCTTGGGCCAGCCAACTACAAACAAATTATAATTAAAAAAAAACGCAGCTTTGATGATCACACGATTGCGTTGTCTGAAATCACAATTTCGGTCAGAAAACAATAAATAATTTAGCCTCATTTTTTCCCCCCCTAATTTTGTGATGTCCCAAACAGGGCTTTTTTGAAACAACCCATTTTAGGCACAGCATTCCTAAAACCAAACACTGACAAAGCCAGTGGTTAGACTTTTTTTTCAATGATGTCACAAACATGGAAATTAGAATAGAACCACCTCTCCCCTGCAGGTGAGCAGCTACAGGAGAGGATCAAACTCCACTCTGACATCCCCCAAAGATATCAGAGCTTCTAAGCTTATAGCAGGGTATGGGTGGGCGTGGCTAGCTCCAGCTTGTTTTATTAAAATGACAGAACCCTGAAATGGCTCATTCTGGAGGGTACTGAAAATTTCAAGAACAAAGGGCTCGACACACGGGAGGCGGCAAACGACCGCGATCAGCTAAATTTGTCGCTGTCGCTTTTATTACCTGACACACGGGAGGCGATCCGCGGCAGCGGCCAACGGCAAAGCCGTCTACGCGTTCTGTTCCATGGCGAAATCGAAACTTCCGTTGTTTGGTTTGGCTGTGTCAGGTTGGAGGGAATTAAGGTTATTTAAGCGGTTCAGAGTTAATAAAGTGGTAGATATGATGTTTCACAAGGTGCTGCTAGAG